CAATTTATCATACTCAGATTACTATAAAATTGCAATCAGCAATCGTTGTACTTTAGCGCAAGCCATCAATGAATCTAACTAGTCCATATTGTCACATGCATTATTAATGAGCTGCTACCTCTATCAATGGACGAATCTCCAATTGGAGTGGACGTGGGTAAGCTGCACTTAACATTAGCAAATAATTCAAAAATTCAATGACTTGACCCGAGTTTGCACAATGTGTGCTTTGTTTTATTTTTCAATAAATTTTGTACGGTCCTAACTTGTAATTACAAACTCGCAATATTTTACAAACTATAAAAAAAAACAGAAGAAAATGGAAAGTTCTTGAACAGGAAATAATGAATTCAATAGAATTAGATAAAAAGAGATGAAATATAAACTAAATTAAACCAAGTTCACAATAAGAAAATAGATCTATAAGAGGAGTTTCGTTCCCATAAAATGCTCTTATTTTCTGATTCCAATTTCTTTTCAATTTTTGCTTTGCGTTTTATGGTAGTCTTTTGTAGAATGGTTTTTATCATTTCTAGCTTAAATTAAATAAATGGCAAAGATGAATGTCAAAGGATATATACAGTGTGTTCCATAAAGTTGGATCCATATGAGATTTTGTTTTTAATATTACGATTAGAAAAAACGTCGTAGGACAATCACCTCTGCTTATTTAAAAACTTAAAATAGCTCTTATCAAAGTTAGCTACTAACATTAGTTTTCTGTCAAATTTATATTTAACGATGTTTCAAATAAATACCGAATTTGACAGATAACTAGTGCAGTACCTAATCAACTTTAGTGTGGACTATTTTAAGTTTTTAAAAAAGGAGAGGTGAATACGATACGACATTTCTTTTCCAATCGAAATATTAAAGAAAATTTCCATATGGATCCAACTTTATGGAACACACTGTAGAAATAATTTTATTATAACGACATTTATCAATATAATGATATAGAACTGAGTCCCGCAATGCTTCCAATTAAATTTTTTTTCTTAAAAGAAATTCAATTTAAGAGGAACATTGTACCTTATTCACGAAACGAAAACAGAAAAGCTTCAAATCAGATAAATTAAACGTTTTAATTTACAATGATTGGGCGTATACATTCAGTCAAAAATATGCTTACCAAATTTCAACATTGGCCGAAAATGTATATTACGAACGTAAAATTAAATATTTTTAAAAAAAATTCTACAACTAGCCAAATAGAAATTAAGAGCTGAAATTCGGCAGAAGTGTTCACCTTTTTATTAGTGAGGGCTGGGAGTTGTAACGTGATCTCTAGTTATTCTATCTACTTGTATAATGTGTTTGAGCTCAATTGATTGGGCGTGGATTAGGTTATTAAATAACTCGAATAACTTGAAAAAGAAGTTGGGCACCACTATATTTAAAGCTTACTATACTTGACTTCAGATTAGTGATAAAAATATAGAAAATCACTAACCGCTAACAAATTATAATTAAACCATGCTTTAGATAAGGTAGTAGCAAATTCTAATTCACATAGTTTTACTAAATACAAATTTAAGATGATTTATTCAATTGCGCTTATCTTTTGATAAAACGAGGTAATATAAAGAATGGAATGTTTTATTGCATGTTAAATCTTCAGACAACTTCTTCAAAGGGATTCGGGATCCTTATTCGTAATTTCGCAACTTGAATGATCTCGTGATATTTGGTATTCTAACTTAAACTCAAACTTGTCTAGATCTTCTAGAGATGAATCAAACCACGGTCTTCAGATTGTACCAAAACCAAAACAAACTTCTAGGTATAAAAACCATAAAACTTCTTAATAAGAATTCAAATACGTCTAGATATAAATCCAAATAAACCGTCTAAATATAGCCATGCTAAAAAAAAAGGGTTAAAATGTTAAGACAGGAAATAGGAAATTTGAACAGGATTTAGATAAAATGCTTTAACTAAATTTAAAACTATTAAATAAATAATTTCACAGATACTAAAATTAATATGAAAAGGAAAAATCTTATTTAACATAATATTTAAACATAGTAAAGTATAATATCTTATTCCAAAAAAACAATATATAAATTAATATAAAATGAACATTTTGAACATGTGTTATCTATCCATTGTTGATATTGAGGTTATGTTCAATATTTGACAATTTATTTAAGAAATCGTTGTACAAAATATATATTTTCAACAATATATTAGTATTAAAACTTACCTTATAAAATGAGACGGAATTTACGATAGAATAAAATCATTTAGAACATCGGATGGACAAGATATATTGAAATTCAAATCAACTTGATTCGTTGACATCCAAGTCAAAAATAATTCTCACAATATGAATCAAGGAAGAAGAAAACGACAAATGACATTTAAGTAGAGGTGATTGTGTCAAAATAACGAATAACTGTTCCAACCGTTACAGAGTATGAGTTTTAAAAACACTTTATTTTTATTACGATTTTCATGGTCTTATTTTATAGATTTTTCTTTTCATCTATACCTAATCCTCAAAGCTCTATGATTCCCCTTTTTAAACCTAGTTATCTTCCTTATCCTCTCATTCATTCTTTTTACATACCTAGTACCAGTCCTTTGTAATCTTATCTTAACCTGTTCTAAACATCTTTATTACAATTTTTTATCTTTACTTTAATTACCAGGTTTCTTCCAGAGTTGCGGGAAAGTCCGGAATAAAATTATTATCTGTTCAGACAGTAACTTGAAAAAAAAAACGCTTAAACACGTGGATTGATTTTACATTGTACGTATTTGTTCCCAATAAAATGAAATTTGTTTCTTCAACCCCTTAGCTGCAACCTTACCCAACTTTTTTTTTTTTTTCATTGAAAAGCTCATGAAATATTTTTTTTTCTTTTACTTATATAGTAATCTAGATATCTCCAGTGAAATACTATGGTTTTAACAGAACGGCGCTCTCCCACATTTTGAATGTCAGAGAATATATCGATGAAATATTTGCAATATGCTGGATTGAACGACGTGGTACAATTGAATGGACACCAGATTTAAAGATATCTGTAAGACAAGGTTTATCAAAATAAGCCTGGGAGCATGCCAGGTAGAGGTGGAGGACATTTTCAACATCAGCTACGTTAATTCACCCGTCAATAGCACTAAATAGGTATTTGTAACTTTTTTAAAGGAATTGATATATCAAATAGAAGAGGCAGATTTACCTAACTTGAAGCCACTTCATATCCTACACTTCCTTCAGGAAATAGGATTAGAAGGGTCGTTATAAGCATTGAGACATTTCCTTGGTGCATTAGCGACAGAAGGGGACACAATAGATCTTTTAGGTCGCAGTGTATTAATACCCAATTCCCAACATAACATTACATAAAGGAATTTTTTCTCATTTTCTAATAACCACATAAGTAAAAGAAAAAAAAAAGGGTATGATGAGATTCCATTTTTCACGAGCTTTTCAATAACCCTACACACGACATACTTTTGCATTTAAAAAAAAAAGTTGGGTAAGATTGCAACTAAGGGGTGGAAGAAACAAAATTTCATTTTCATATACGTCCAATGTAAAATCAATTCACGTGTTTCAGCGTTTTTGTAAGTTACTGGTTGAACAGATAATAATTTTATTCCGGACTTTCGCTTAACTCTGTATACTGTGTTTTTCTCTGTGATTGTATTTGGAACTTGATTTAAGCCAACATTTTGTTCTTTTATTTGGATACAACTTGACAAATTTCGAAAAATTATTTACCCTTTTTAAAATATTGGATTTTCCACTATCCGTACATAAAACCCGCCTCCATATTAATATATAACTACTCAATTAGGTTGCCAGGTAGTTACAAGACGAGGTGAGGGTAATTTCACTTTCCAGAGTGTTACCAGGTTCAACAAAAGGTGACAGGCATGGTGTAGTCTTCTAAAATGCCCATTTGACTTTATTGTTTTTCTATATATACTCCGTCAACGCAGGAAAAATATATTAATATATTAAAAGAAAACTATGCAATATGATAATGATTGGATTACCTGACTTTTCCTCAACTTTAAATAAAACAAACATGTCTACTTAGGTTGATGACATGTCACTGTGGTGTATCAGTTCCAACAATTGGTATTTAATTAACAATGCAGGCCTCCAGACCTTATTATAAAACTCATTCAACAGATAAAAAACTCATCAATCACTATTGAAAATGTTAATAAAGAAACTGCAAACGAAAACCAGCACTTAATCAATCAATTTGATATATAATGTGCACATATCGTATATACGGTACGCAGTCTACAATTAACTTTTTTATAATATATAGTATTTTTATTTTTAATACTAATTCAAAAGTAGGTTGGGCGTTTATATTTCATAAATGTCATCAGGGCCGTACTTATTATAACAAAGCGAGTCAAAAAATTGAAAAAATCTAATAAAAATGAAAATAAATAGTAACTATAAGATATTACAGTGTGTCTACTTAAGTTGACGCCAAATAGAAAACTTGTTTAATGTTCTAATACAAAAATAGTTACTCTTAATAAAAATTTCTGCATGATCTGAAACCGTTAATAAAATCATATAAAAATATTTTAGTCATTTAATTGTAGTTTTTAATTTTAAACAATATTTTTCGATATTGTGAAATAAACGGGTAGTTTATTCTAGTACCAAATTTATATTTTATGTCATATCCCGTATAGTCAGTTTTCAAAGGGAATTTCGTGTGCAACTTTTTCAAGCAATATTGTAATATATATCAAAATTTTACAAAAAATACGAATATTTTTAGGCAGTCTGGAGGTAAAAAACTACCCCTATGTCCTCTATTATAATAAAATAATAATTAATTTGTTTAAGGGTCGATCTTTTCACCTCTTAGTGAAGTTACATGTCGGTTTACTTGACAGATTAACAAACTTTATAGAAGGTGAAAAAACTGGCCTTAAATCGGCTTATTGTAAGAATACTCTTAAACACTGAGGTCGAAGTTATTCTTTATATGCAAAATTGAGCACAGGTTCTATGGCGGGGTGTATAGTAGTTTTAATGAATGCAAAACATCAAGGAGTAAAATTGTTTCAAGTCGTATGTCGTTTTTAGTGTTGTTGGGGTCAATTAATTCGTTTTGGTATTTTCTTTCTATATCCCATATCTATAAATAAAGAAGTTGATGGTATAAAAGCGATTTAAAAAATATATATTTTCGTATTCAATATTTACGCCGCTTGCTTTAAGCGACCTTTAGTTTATATCCTATTACAAATGACTTAATATTATTTTAAATATTGTTGGAGTTGCCGACGACTTTTAAATTCTACGGAATTTAGGGGTTAAGAAATTAATCAAAGAGTTATTTGGAATAATATACATAAAAAAACAGAAATATTAACAATATTTCACATTCTGTGAGTAAATTACTCCGTGTCAGACAGATCATCTTTTGACACATCGGAATCAATAACTTGTCCCTCATCTCTCTTAGAGTTTTGACAAATCTCCAGACGGCTTTCACACTCACACATTTCTGTGCAACCTAAATTTTGCGAAGAGCTTTTGCCTCGTAGAGGGCAATTATTTTTTTAAGGACCTGATCTGGTGCACACGGACAATAATTTGGATAGTGTTTAACATTTGTACGTTTCTATTCCTAGTTTGTGGCCGGTGTCACATTTTATTGCGTGTCTAAGGGCTCCCAATGTTGGAGGAAGATTTTCACAGGAACTTGATCTTTGTTTTTGTTTGAAGAGCCACCATTGCAAATCAGCAAGGTATTTATTTTATTTACTTTTTTTCCTCAGAAAGATAATTAATTCAGTGTTTTTTTCCCAATGAAGCCATAGCTTCTAGAGTTGTTGTAGGTAACTCCAAGCATGTTTTCTAGAAGCTTAGTTTAGAGTTTTACTTAAAAACTCCTGTAATATCTGTCCCTGACAATGCATGAAGTCCCGGAAGTGCGTCAACCTTCAATTTACCCAGATTGTCATAAATTGGTTGCAAATATATTTCACGGTTGCTGGCTCCAAAGCAGGAAATAGTAAGTACCTTCTTTAAGTCAACGCGAAAACATCAGCTAAAAATTGGATACTTATTTCTTGTGCCTTTCGCGTTAGCTCAATGGAATCAATTTTAATTTTAAATACACGAATGACCAACATTTTTGTGCAAATGTCGCATTGTTCCTATGGAAACTGATTTCAAAATATTGTATTATTTAAGGAGTGGTTTCACCCCCCTTAAAATTCGAGTTTTAAAAAATTATCGAACAATCTATATGTAAGCCAAAATTCAGATTTTTACCTCTAGTGGTTTCGGCTTTTATGAAAAGGAGGTTGTTTTCACCCCCTTATGGGAAAATCGTTTCTGAAAAAAACAAAAATAAGAAATACGTGTTCAAGAATGTTTTCGCAAAATAAAAAATTTGTAATAATAAAGAAGTTGTTTAACCTTAAAATTCGAGTTTTGAAAAATCCGCTTTTGGCAAGCATCTACATTATAAATCCAACCTGCCCTCCAATTTTCATGTATGTAGGTCCAAATTCCATCCAAAATTCTAGATTATTTTCAAAGGGGGTAAGAGGGGTGGTTTCTCCCCTCGGACACGTCTACGAGGAACGGTCCAAAGATTTTCGAGATTCACATTTTTTTGAAAGTGCACACCGGATTCAGTTTTTGGCCTTTTGAAAACTTTCTAGTATATTAATGATTATTTCAATGTTCCTTTTAGACCAAACATATATTTTTATAAAGAGTATCTTTATTTCGTAAAACTAGCAAAAAACTTTTTCATATTTTGGCACTAATTTAAGTAGATACACTGTATTTAAAATACGACAAAGTGACGTTATTTATACTGATTTCTCAAAAGCTTTTAGACTCGCTGACCACATCACCAAAAAAGCGCCTTTGGGATTCCAAGACACTTTAACATCCCTACTTTCTTATTTTCTAAATCAACGTGTAAATTGAATTTTTTACAATGAACTCTCGGCTTTTTTTATCATCCCCATCTGAAGTACCACAGGAATCGAATTTGAGTTATAAATATACGTATTACGGGTTGAAAATATTTTAATTAGTGACGTCTGATCACCTTCGCCAATCGGTTTGGTACTAGTAAAGTATTGTAATATTTATTGGATACATCTGTTTAGCTGGCCCATAACCTATAATAAATTTATTATTTTTATACTCTTGCTATCTGTCAATAAATTAAATTTTCAATATAATTCTTCTTTTCTGACCCCTTTGAGGATTTAGCCAACCAAATGAACAGATTTATATCCTATTCAGTTGCATCCAATTAGTAAAAGACCTCTTAGTAACTTACCAAATTATCTTAGGGATTTACTTCCTAGTTTTTTTGAACACTTTTTCTACAGTCCTTCTGAAAAGCTAACCTAATTGTAGCATGTGCTACTGAAATCAATCGATTTTTCGGATTCTTTAGCTTGAAAGAACAAGGATCATTGTAAGTAACCCATATAGAATTGAGCGTGGGATCAATTAACACTTTTTTGTGGTTCCAGGGTACTAACCGTTGGAAAAAATATACTCCTTAAGGTCAACCAACATCCTCAGATGAGTCTAACTTATTTCTTCCTGCAGCAGCTCACCTACTCCTAAAATAATATTTTTATGTGTACATAAATGTCTTTGCAGACCTTTTTATTTTTAGTGTTAGTACATGCGCTATTCGCATAGTTTTGTACTAGCCGCTCTGGAACTAGCCTTAGACACGGACCACCCCTATCTTAACGTGACTTACAGATCCTCAGGCAGTGGTTCCCAGGACGGGTTTGCCCGCTCACTATACGGCACCCCCAATCTTCCCAGTTGGTCACTACAAGAAGGTTTTTTTGTGGTATTATCCATCGAATTAATCTACCCCCAGTAGAGATACTCTCCACTTCTAGAATACATCTTGTGTGTATGTATACCTACCTTAGGATGACGGTCTCTTGCCTGTTCCTCTAGGAGTGCCAGCAAGTAAGACAAACCCAATCTTTACTACCAGTTATAAAGGGGAACTTCCTTAGCGATCCTACCACGCATTTGTTACTTAAAACGAAATAATTATATAAACAGTATAGTTTTGATGGGAGATCGTTGGTTTCTATGGTTTTAGATAATACGTTTTAGATAATAAGTTGAGGCTAATTACTAGGTATACAGAATTTAAAGTAAATACTTGGTTCCTGTGATTTGCAAAACTAAAATTGTGTAGGACTGTTTAAGTATTTAGTCTTAATAAAAAGGGGGTTATCCCATCGCTTTTATAAACTAAGCTCTATAGAAACTTACTTGTATAACCTGAAATTTAATGTACTTCCTATGATATTGGGAACCGAACAGTACTGATTGGGGTATAACACCATTAATTCTGAATAATTTGTACATAATTCTTTACTTTTAATTTATGTTTCCTTTTTTTATATCGTGCAGGCTGAATATTTATAATTATATGTTATTTCTTATTTCATATTATTTAAGACATACTTTTGAAGTGTTCTATCACCTTCAACCACGGGACTCGAGACTAACTTAAGGAAACTGTCGTAGGTCTAGAGTACAGTCTTAGTAATAGGTAAGGCCTATCATTGTGCTAGGTGATATATATAAACATTATAATACTTCACTGTAATATAAGTTCGAGCAATTAAAATCATTAACCAATTTACTACTCAATAGTTTTATTTATTTATTTACTTATTTTTTTTGTATCACCCACCCCCTTCTTGAGATTTAGTTAGAAGAATTAAGAATTCTAACGGCTTTATACGTTTAAATTCAACATCTGATTCGTATTTAAACACTTATGATTTATATAACAAAAGCCTACTCTGTTAAGTAAACAATCGATAAAACAATAAATCAGTAGCTAGAACACAAATTGTACTTTATTTTATCTCTGTTGATAGTGTTTTCACTTAGACGCATTGCAAGCTAAATAATTTTAAACATTTTTTTTTAAGAAGTTAGTACCGTCAACGCAAAGTCTTATCAATAGAGTTCAAAATTCGAGCAGCACTCCAACAATGGGAAACCGAGGTTATAATTAGAAGCAACACCATAGCTATGTATGTAATAATTGTCTTACATCACTAATAAATGCATTAAGCATACATCGTAAGTATGTTAAAGTACTCACACAAAATAAATCTCTTTTCGTTAAACAACAGAAAAAACGAAGCTGTAAATTTTAATAATACCCCAAATTGAGTGTTTAAATATCTGTCCGAATTTAACCACTAAAGCTGGCCCTGTCACATATAATCTAATTTCTAATTAATTGGAAAGGGCGCGCAAATTTTACTTAAGTCTTGCTGCTTTTAATCAACCGCGCCAAGGTCACACCAAACGTCTAGCCAATGGTGTTCAAGATAAGCCAATCTTTGACGTCATAATATTAGGAGGTATAGATAGTCAAACACAGAAGTTTTGTGAGGCTTTCGGGTCTCACATTGCATACATATCTCTTCGAGCACCACATTTCATATTTTCGTAACCAACATAACCGGCATTTGCATTCGTAATTTTCACACGTCTTCTCAGACAAAAATTAGTTTGGAGCTGTACCTATAGGTATCTTCATTCATTGTATTCACAAGTGCACATCGTTTTTAGTTACTGGAAGTGAATTTATTTAATATACATTTCTGTGTTCAAGAAAACGTTGTTTTAATCACCGCTGATCTTCCATGAAGATAAGAAAAATATTCATGAGCGATTAGACCTTCAATTTTATAAATATGATTCACCCCTCATCGAAGATATACTGGGTGAAATCATTGAGTTTATTTCCTGTGTACAAAATTCATATTGAATAAATGTTTTTATTGTTCTTCCATCTATAACAGCCTTTTATGAAAATGCTCATGAGGTCCAGTCTATAAGAATCTAAATATGCCTCATCCTGAATTTTAAATTTACAGGGTGAGATCATATCTTATTCTTATTAAGGATCTAACAATTTTATTCCATAATTGACTTTTAATTAGCAACATTTTTTTTTAAATTAATTGTGTTTAAAAATTTAAGAAATCTTAAAACTACGCTTTATTTTTCATATATTATGCAACAATGGATTTATCTATGAGAAAATTAAACCAATTTAAGTAAGTTTGCACATACTCGACCAGTGCCTCGGATGTG